TTGATTGGATTATCCAGTAGAAAAAGCCACAGAATTAGGGATGAGTGACATGATAATAAACAGAGAGAGCTTTGTCACTCCAATGCTGTGGCAAAGGCTTGATCCTGCTAATCACTGAACTCAATGAGAGTTTTGCCATTGGCTTTAACAGGCACAGGTTTAGGACCTAAGAAAATGTTCTCCACCTCTGCGGTAGTATGGGTGAAGCCTCAACTAGTGGGGCTCTTCTGGGTGGCCAGTAATGTGATAAATCCAGGCTGCTTCCTCTAAGAAACAACCAACTGTGATGAATTTTCCATCTACATGAGGGATAAAATTCGATTGGATTTGGACAGGATTGGCTGGTTCCATTGTGCAGGATTAAGTGAGGCAGGAGTCAAGGTAACATTTACTGCCCCTTTGGTTTCTTTCTTCCACTCGTTGCTCTGAGACATTTTTTTCAAGCCACTCTGGATGTCTATTCGATTGTAATAGTCACAATCTTTAAGTCAAATGATTTTCAGATCATTGCAAGTAATTCTGAATAACAAACAAATTCAGTAATTTTAAGATGGTGCTCAGAAAAACTGCAAGCTGAACAATGAAGTGAAATTTATCTAGTAGTTTATTGCTTATTTGCTCACCTCTAATTTCCATGTAGTGGACTGCAGGAGCAGCCAGAGCAAAATTAGTGCCATAAGTCAAGGGCAGCATATATGATCATCAGCTCTCTCTCATTCAAGTGTTTAATTAGTTGCCTAGCTGATCCTAAGCATTTCAAGTATACATTCTACCTGGTAAGTGTCCTTCGTTGAGGCAGCCTCTCCTGTACAGCCAAAGTTTATAGACAGGAAAATTGACTCTTGGAAGCCAAGATTTCATATCACACAGAATCAAGTTGACTCTGATAATGGCTTTAGCAGCTCACATGCATCCTCTGTTAGGAAGATATAGCATACAATACTGCAACACATCAACAGAATGAGTCCGAAATTATAACCCATTGACACACAAGATTGTACTGCACCTAGCACTATAGGGGCATGGTCTATGACTAGGGCTCCTAGGGAGCTATAGTAATACCAATAAATAACTACACAAACAACAATAAAAATACAAGTTTACTAACAGCATGGTAGCTCTGGTGGCCAGTGGATATTCTACACCCCCTGCCATCCTCACATAGCTGGCAAAGTAGAAAGATGGCTAAGGGTCAGAGTCCACACTTAGATGAAGGCAACATGGTGAGGCAATTAGGGCACAGAGAAAGGGGTCTGCCATGTGCACTAGCTGTTCTCATCTTTCTATTTGATGCACTGAGAAGTAGCTTATGTATTTATTAGTGGGTGGGTGTAATTTTAGGCTTTCAAAAGCAAAACCATAGGGAATAATACATAATCCCATTAAAGATATAGGTTTATATAGATATACACATATATACACACACCCACACAACTTGATATCAGTTATTTATATCATATTTCAATTATTTTTCAGGTGTTGGTGATTTTAATGCCCAAAAAAGGTTAGATATGGAAAGTGTGGAAGAGCTGTATAAGTGTTCCCCAGACAGCTCTGCCAATATACTTCAGTCCCAATATCTGGCACTATCTACTATTCCAGTCCTTCCTCCACAGCTCAGCCAATACACTTCAACCCGGCGGGCATAGAAGAGCACAGAATATTGCTTTTATGTAGGTCCTACATACATTTCTTGGCCAAAGAGCAGTGGATTTCTTTCTTTCTTCTGTTTAGACAGACACCATATTCTACAACTTTAACATGGGTCAAATGTTGGGCTTTCAGACTGCTTGAAAAGGATTATATAATAAATTGTAAGCTATATTTCTGATGGTATACCCCTCTCCTCCCTTTTCATTCATTGCTCCACTCCATGATTAACAGCTGAGAACATATATTCCACCCTGAAATAATAGCAAGGGAGGGAGGTAGGATGGACATATAGCCCCATAAGATTTCATCTCTATGTATGGTGTTTATTAGATAGTCCGCTTGGCCTGCAGCCATGTATCTGTATATCTCAATAAGGAATGCAGCCTCTAACTGTCTGAAGTACTGGCATTTACAGAGCATGTGTCATCCAGTTATTGCCTCATGTCCCTCCTGACAGTCTTGATCATTTGTTAATTAAAGTGTATGACCTCTCCTCTGCACTCTGCCTCAGAGCTTCCATTTTGCAGGCACCAACTTCTTATTTGTGGTGTAGTCATTTATTATGCTTCTACATTTCACCTAGAAAAAGCAACACAGCAAAACGGTGACTGAAATCGGGGGGTTGGGGCGGGGAGGGTTAGTTTTAGCATATACCAAATCATCTTCATGTGAGATGAAAATTTCCCATACTGAAGATGGCATGTGATGATAATGCTGTACATAACATTATAGATCAAGTACTTTATACACTCTGAAACCCACCTAAAGAAAGCTGTCCAGGCAGGTGAGAGTTAGACTAGATCTCCAGTCTGTCTCTGGAAGTAATCATCTCATTCCTTTGCCATCCTCTTTTATCATCAGCAAACTTTCTGAAGTGCTCTCAATGAGACTTTGGATTTTCATATCTAGGCAGGGGTCCCACTAGCAGACTCCATGTCAGATCACAAAGTAGTTCCTCCTCCAGGATCTAGAAAAGTCTGCAAAATCAGTTGTGTTGACAACAGAGCAATCCTCTGAAGATGGGTGGTTAGCAATGAGTTGAGCAGCCAACTTCCTCTTAGTTAGCTGTGATTCTAGCCCTTTATCTCTGGCCAAAGGCTGGATATATAAGGACCTAACAGTCAGAATTACGGTGAGGCTCACAGTCTACACTTCAGGGACTTATTGCATGCCCAAGAATGCAAAATAATGCAGGAAGGTAAATTTTGCAATGCAGCGGTTTGATGGTTAGTGCTGAAGTGCATGGTTGAGGCGGTAAAGAATTTGGTCATTGGTTAAAATGCAAGAATGCATTCTTAGCTTTAGAACGAGCACGAAGAAAGAAAGAAAGAAAGAAAGAAAGAAAGAAAGAAAGAAAGAAAGAAAGAAAGAAAGAAAGAAACTCTCCTCTCAGCTCTGTGATGTTCAGTGAGATTCTCTGAGAATTGATACTAGCCCTACAGATCAGTCTCACAAAATTATACCTGTCCTCTCACCTTACAGAAATTGGTTTTTGAAAGGAAGAGTGATAAAATATCATCATTTTTCAAATTATCATGCTGACACTCACTACATAGCAAGGGAGTCATAGCATTAGAGCAAGCTGGGATGTGTACCTAACACAGGAGAGGGATTCATTGGGAGATGAGAGGGGTCTGAAGGAGGTGGCCAGAGAGCGAGAGAAGGTCTTGAAGCACCTGGAAGGATAGTAGACTTCTTAAGGATAAGGAAACTTTAAGGAGCTCTTTGTGTAACCCATGGGCTCCCCAGTATTTTCTAAACTGAGGTCTGATTCTCCCCTGATTTGCATAGTCACTTACAGACAGTGCAAAGTAGGTGTAAAACCATACCAACTTGCTTGGGTTGCTTTTTACACTAACTTTGCACGGGTGTAAATGACAACACAGGATTCCAGGCCGGGAAGAATCAGGCCTAACACTGATTCACTAGCTAGCAAATGCGGAAACAACTTCAGCACTCTGGGCCAGATGCTTAGATGTCATAGATCCATTGTCTTCAGTGGGGATCTGTTGATTTACAAGCTGGGGATCTGATGCTCTTTAAAAAGCTGGACTTTTCTGACCAGCTATAACATGCTATGTATCCAGCCTGATTTTCTTAACTTTTGAATGTTGATTTCCTTCCATAACTGGTGATAAAGTGCTGCCCTGATATTTCAGGATGATTGTTACAGTCATTGAGCAGTCCAAAGCACTTGGAATTCATGTCCTCCCCCTATCACGGCATGGTATAATTGTTCAGAACTGCATAGCTTTCCCACCAAGTGTAATAGCACTAACCAGAAAGGCACTGCTATAGCCACTTGGGAATGCTCGTCCAATTGGGTCATCCCATGTAAATACAGTGTAAACAATGCAAACAAATTGGAGTGAACTAGACAGTAATATACATAGAGGAACTTTATTTTTTTCAATGGCTGATGCGTTACATACTATTCAGCACCATACTTCTGCGATGCTGAATCAGATTGAGACCAGGTCTCCAGGCCTGTGCTCCAAAGTGGCATGGAAATCACTACCCAGAATGGTCCATGAAATTATGAACTCACAAACCACTGAAGTCAATCAATGAGCAGCAATTGAAACTTCAGAGAAGGAAAAAAACAAGGATTGAGACCCCCTGTTCTTCAGAGAAGCACTAAATTGCTTTGGTGTTTGAAAATATGATTTACTTCGACCAGAGAAGCGTTGCTGAAACTATTGAGTAGTTATAAAATAATAGCTGCCAGGTGGCTAGTGACAGGTTAACTTACATGAAACCTCTTGCACTTTGGTACCAACCAGTCATTAGCCAGAAGTGACACAGTTCATGGACACTTACGTTTCCTAAATGTACTAAGAGGTTTTAGAACAGGAGTACTTTTTGTTTCAGAGCTGCTGATTATTTTGGCTTGTGAATCAAATGTCCCATTGAGAAACCCCCTTGGACATTTGCCATGAGTAAGACAGTGTTCAGGATTTTATTTTAAATTAAGATAAGATATACTGTTAAAGCACATTAGAATACATTAGGAAAAAATAACAATCCAAGAGCAAAAGAAGGAAAAATGAAACTCCATTGCACATGTCACCATGCTAATGGTCTCATCTCACTCACAGAAATCTTCCACTGATCTTTTTCAGTGCCTTTTTATGGGGAAAGAGAAAAGGGTTTACTTGGTTTTTGTTTGTTTGTTTTGTTTTGTTTGTTTGCCACTCAGAGCCGGCTTCAGGCACCAGCAAAAGAAGCAGGTGCTTCGGGCGGCCAATGGAAAGGGGCGGCATGTCCGGGTCTTTGTTGGCAATTCATCGGCAGGTCCCTCACTCCCTCTGGGCTGAATTGCCCCCGAAGAATGAAGCGGTGCAGTAGAGCTGCTGCCGAAATGCTGCCAATCGCAGCTTTATCTTTTTTTTTTTCCCTCCGCTTCACCACTTGGAGCAGCAAAAAAGCTGCTTGGAGCCAGCCCTGTTGCCACTTAGGATGAATGAAGGGTCCCAACACTACTTGGGCTACTGTCACAGAACTGAGTCCTGCAAACACCATTCACACGAATAGTTCCACTGAGAACTAAATCACAGGAGTAAAGGTGCTTGGGGATGGTCTTCTCAAAAGCACTCAGCAATGGCCTAACCCTTCTCCCATTGAAGTCAATGGAAATTGTATCATTGACTACAATGGGAGCAGAATTAGGCCAATCCTGAGCACTTTTGAAAAGCCACCCCTACACAAGCATGTGATTACCGAACTGGGCCTTTGTCAAATTGCGTCTCTCACGCGCTCTCTTAGAACGTCTTATATTTACTGCCAGTGCCTGGAGTAAAATATGAAGTGTTAAAACCAACAGTTTTGTGCCTGCTGCTAACCTCTTCGGGCTTTCTAAATTAAAATTATTTGGCTCTACCATTTCATCTAATTAGGGCTATTCCTGGCCAGTGCACTAATGATTTTTAAAAGAAAAAGATGAGAAACTTTAGCATGGAGTTTTTCCAAGTGCAAAGAACATTTCAAGGAAGTCAAGGATAATCAGACACCATGGTTCGAAACCTGCTTGCTGTTATCATGCACAAAATTCTCTTTCTCAGCAATACTTTTTCTTTGTTCAAAGCAGGTTGTTTTTACAGTAGATACCTGTCACATAGCAACAGAACATTAATAAAATAATAATATTTATATGTTAAACTCCCATGTTTTAGAAGCTTAGAATGGAAAAAACACTTCTTTTTAAAAATAATAATAAATAATGTCAACTTTTTTCTTTACATTAAAAAAAATCTGTACATGATTACACAATGTAACAAAATACATTTCTGTTTTCCAGGCTAAGGCCGTCATCTTTGGGTTAGATCTTCATCTAAGGAGGTTACAGGCCCACGGTGTAGAACCTGTGTATTTCCCACTGCACGAAAATCAGACTCCCAGGGTTCCTAGATCTACAGCGTTGCCTGTCATTTACATGCAAAGGAGGAAGCTGCCTACAAGGAATGTAGTAATAGCTGCATGCAGGAAGTAGCTAGGATATGAGATTATTGTAAAAGGGCAGGTGCATCGGGCAACATTTGAAAGTTCTGAAGCTTGTTTTTGTTTTTTTTAAACCTCACAGGTGGATGGGGGGAGGGGAGGGAAGAAAAAGCAAAACACCCAAGTAGGAGTTTGTCTTCCAACTGTAGCTAGAAAAGCTCTTCAGATGGCATATATTTATCAACATGGCACTTAGTGAGCTATTACAGATTGATATTCCCTAAGGACTTTGTCTCTTGATCAACCTTTCTTTTACAGGTGGGATACCCAACGTTTGCCCAAATAAGGACTACTGCATCTAATAGGTAGAAAATGGGGCAGACCATGACTACTGTCTTCTGGCTAGTATAGAGCAGCACTTGCTGGGACTTGCAGTCTCTGTGGGCCATGTCTCCATATCAAAGATGATATGTCACTGTGGGCTGCATTTTAGATCCTCATGGGCTATTTTTGCTCATTGGCTCTTTTACCAGAGATCTTGGTCAGGACCCTCACTGGAAAAGTATCTACAGGGAAACACTGTTTCCATTTGATATTGCACTGGACAGGGGGAATTGTCAGCTCACACTGACAGATCTCACCATTGAAGATAACTGAGAAGGAAAAGAATTCCTTTTCTTTTCAGAAAGAAAACATAAGCACTACGTCTCTCCTGACAGCACCATGTTAGGCGTAGGTGTGACCTTGAGCAGACAAAGGAGGCATTTACTGCAGTTCACCGTTACAGCTTCAAGTCAGACTTTGAAATCTTTAAGATCACAATATTGTGGCCACAAAACAAAGAGGCGGCATGCAGCAAAAAATGGCAGCTGGCGAAAAACCATAAATCTCAGTGTGGGTATGTGTGTGCGAGGGCTTGTGTGTGTGCTCTTTGTATACAGGGATGGAAGTTTGCACACCTCTGTAAAGCACTGACATTAAGGCCCTGCTGCGTTAATAAAGTCCAGACATCCTCCTGCAGCAACAGAAAGGTCTCCTCAATTGTTCTGCACATTGCATCCCCTCCTCAGCCTCGTCAGTCACCATCTTCATGCTGTTAGCCATTCCTGTCAAATCAATACAGGAGGCACCAGGGAAATGCAGGCAAATGAGCTTGCATTAGAGTCCTGCTGCCCCAAAATCATCTGGTGTGCAGGTGTGCGGTTCCTCTGCCAGGGTCTTCATTAGAAACAGGACTCCTGGGATTCTGGGTCATTGTGGATGGGAAGCTTCTCGTGTTCCTGATGATGCCCATTATGTAAAACTGTGTACCTAGGAGGAGGGGAAAGCAAAACAAATAGGAGTCACTAGAGCAAATTAAAAAGGACAGGCTGAGCCTTTTCTTTTCTCAGGAGAGTCTGAGACCTAGGCAGGTTGTCTTCAGAGTGCTCCTAATATCCCGTTTCCCTGCTCCACCTGCCAAGTAAAATGTAAATCCAAACCATGTTCATGATGGCAGAAGATGACTGTGACTATAATGTTAACCCCAACCCCTGCAAAGTAGGAACCTGCCGGTTCATGTCGAACTGAGCTATAACAAGTACCATAAGAAACCAGGCTAATGAATTAGGAGACCCGGGATTCTGGGGTGGATGTTGGTGACTGAGTTGTCAACACAGAATTGAATCTCTTTAAAGCAAGTATTAAAAAATCACTTTGCTTTGGCTTGGAATGTATGTGTCCTTTAAAGTGACCCAGAGACCTGCCCTCTGAATCATGTGAACCATACACTAAAAACAACTGATTGCTAGTAATCTCAGTTCTTTTAGTACAACTGTCCTGAATACTGATCAGTTCATGTCCAATTAGATCATTGCCATGCAGGATTACAACCTTCTGGAGACTCCTGAAATACACACACTTCCCCAATTGAAAAATGAGAGCATTCTGCAGGCTAAACTCCACTTCATATTCACAAATTACTGATTTCCTGCAGACTCTGGGCCCTAACTGATGGTGCTGTAAATGAAGGATGGGGGTAAGGACCTCCATCTCTGCCTCTTATTCCACTATCTAAACTACCAGGCAGCCTCACGCTGCCCTTCTCAAAACAACTTTATGTACAGCAAGTGGCGTTGCTGGCTTAGGCTGGTGGAGACCCATTGTTCTGGTTTCTGTCTCTCCTAGTAAAAGGGATTTGGAGTGCAATGCTTAGTGAAAAGGGGTAGGTGTGAGATGATCGGAAGGCTTCCCAGCAACTGGTGCCAAAGTGGCTCATGCAAATCCTTGCAACACTTCATATCTAATAATCAGTCTTCTTTGCAAGAGTCCAAACTCCCCCCAAAATGGAATTGCTGCACAGAACTAGAGGGGGAAAAATACTGTTCACTGAAGCAATTAATTATAATGACTTCTCAGGTGCCACCCTGTGAGGTCAGATGTTCAAAGCCGCTCAGCACCCCATGTGGATCCAACAAGCTGGCATAGTTAATGCTTCTCCACAAGAGGTGGTTGCTATGTCAATGGGAGAAGCTTCTCCCATCAACACAGTGAGGTCTACCTGGGGGGTAGAACTATGTTGCTCAGGGGTGTGGATTTTCCACACCCTGAGCGACATAGTTCTACCGATATAGGTCTGTAGCGTAGATCTGGCGTAAGTGTCCATGTAAACAAGCCTTTATTCCCCTTCATCTGAACCTTACACATCTGAAACTGAGGAGTATAAAAATATTGCTCAGGCATGCAGGAGGGAAATCAGAAAGGCCAAATCACACTTGGAGTTGCAGCTAGTAAGAGATGTTAAGAGTAACAAGAAGGGTTTCTTCAGGTATGTTAGCAACAAAAAGAAGGTCAAGAAAAGTGTGGGCCCCTTACTGAATGAGGGAGGCAACCTAGTGACAGAGGATGTGGAAAAAGCTAATGTACTCAATGCTTTTTTTGCCTCTGTCTTCACGAACAAGGTCACCTCCCAGACCGCTGCACTGGGCAGCACAGCATGGGGAAGAGGAGACCAGCCTTCTGAGGAGAAAGAAGCGGTTCAGGACTATTTAGAAAAGCTGGACGAGCACAAGTCCATGGGGCCAGATGCGCTGCATCCGAGGGTGCTAAAGGAATTGGCGGATGTGATTGCAGAGCTGGTGCCCATCTTTAAAAAAGGGAAGAAGGAGGATCCGGGGAACTACAGGCCAGTCAGCTTCACCTCAGTCCCTGGAAAAATCATGGAGCAGGGCCTCAAGGAATCAATTCTGAAGCACTTAAAGGAGAGGAACGTGATCACAAATAGTTAGAATGGATTCATCAAGGGCAAGTCATGCCTGACTAACCTAATTGATTTCTATGACGAGATAACTGGTTCTGTGGATGAGGGGAAAATAGTGGACATGTTATTCCTTGACTTTAGCAAAGCTTTTGATACGGTCTCCCACAGTATTCTTGCCGGCAAGTTAAAGAAGTATGGGTTGGATGAATGGACTATAAGATGGATAGAAAGCTGGCTAGATCATCGGGCTCAATGGGTAGTGATCAATGGCTCCGTGTCTAGTTGGCAGCCGGTACCAAGCGGAGTGCCCCAGGGGTTGGTCCTGGGGCCGGTTTTGTTCACTATCTTCATTAATGATCTAGAGGATGGTGTGGACTGCACCCTCAGCAAGTTTGAAGATGACACTAAACTGGGAGGAGTGGTAGATATGCTTGAGGGTAGGGATAGGATACAGAGGGACCTAGATAAATTAGAGGATTGGGCCAAAAGAAATCTGATGAGGTTCAACAAGAACAAGTGCAGAGTCCTGCACTTAAGACGGAACAGTCCCATGCACTGCTACAGACTAGGGACCGAGCAGCTAGGCATCAGTTCTGCAGAAAAGGACCTGGGGTTATAGTGGACGAGAAGCTGGATATGAGTCGACAGTATGCCCTTGTTGCCAAGAAGGCTAACGGCATTTTGAGCTGTATAAGTAGGGGCATTGCCAGCAGATCGAGGGACGTGATCATTCCCCTCTGTTCGACATTGGTGAGGCCTCATCTGGAGTACTATGTCCAGTTTTGGGCCCCACACTACAAGAAGGATGTGGAAAAATTGGAAAGAGTCCAGCAGAGGGCAACAAAAATGATTAGGGGTCTGGAGCACATGACTTATGAGGAGAGGCTGAGGGAACTGGGATTGTTTAGTCTGCAGAAGAGAAGAATGAGGGGGGATTTGATAGCTGCTTTCAACTACCTGAATGGGGGTTCCAAAGAGGATGGATCTAGACTGTTCTCAGTAGTAGCCAATGACAGAACAAGGAGTAATGGTCTCAAGTTGCAGTGGGGAGAGGTTTAGGTTGGATATTAGGAAAAACTTTTTCACTAGGAGGGTGGTGAAGCACTGGAACGGGTTACCTAGGGAAGTGGTGGAATCTCCTTCCTTAGAGGTTTTTAAGATCAGACTTGACAAAGCCCTGACTGGGATGATTTAGTTGGGAATTGGTCCTGCTTTGAGCAGGCAGTTGGACTAGATGACCTTCTGAGGTCCCTTCCAACCCTGATATCCTATGATTCCATGAAACAATTACCCAGTCCTAAAGTGCATGTTTAAAAAGGAATATGATCAGTTCTACTACTTTAGCATGCATGAAGAGGGGAGGCAAATAGCATTAGACCCAAGATTTGTTCTTATAACACTCTAGCCACAGAATGTCTAGAATTGCACACTCCTCTGTGCAGAGTAGGGCCTTTGAGTGCATGTACTAAGTACCTATCTGTTAGGGCCTGTGTAACAGAAAAGGGCCTAAACCAAAAGCGGGGATATGAACACACCCAAACTTTGGGGAAAACTCGCTCTGGATCTAAATTTGTCCTGGCTCAAGCTCATTTCTAATATAGCTATCAGTTGTTTTAATACGGATGATTATGCATGTGGATATAACCATTGAAACAGCTTACCAAGGGATGAAGTGGATTCCCAGCCACTTGAAATCTTTAAAATAAAGATCAGATGGCTTTCTAAAAATATGCTCTAGCTCAACCACAAGATACGGGCTTGATGCTGGAATTAGTGGGTGAAATGCAATGGCCTGTGCTAGACAGGAAGTCAGACAAGATTAACATAATGGTCATTTCTGGCATTAAAAATATAAGAACAATTTGCAAAGACTTAATTTTTGTATATTGTGCCAAGTCAGACTGAACTCATTTGTGCAAGAAGCTCTATCAAGGAAACATCAGCAAGCCAGGATCTGTGCTACAGCTGAGTTAAGAGAGACCATGTGCTCTGCGAGCAAGGCACCCATGCTGCAGAATGATGCACAGTCTGTTCAGCTGCAGGAGAGACAGCTATTGAAAAGTGGCTTCATACAAGGCACCCAAAGGAGGCAGCATATCGTCCATCTCTGCTTGTAGTCAGAAAGGAATTGTCCATGTTTGGCATTTTAGCGGAAGGTGCCATCTGTATGAAAAGCGTGCGAGCTAAAGAGAAATTGTTAGTGTGCTGTAGAATCTCTCAGGGTAGAAATTTATTTTCATGTTGCTTCTGGTGCTTGGTCCAAAAATTCCAACTGTTTGCCATCTGGGGAGATGGGCATATGGGGGAGAAGCATTCTGTATCACAATGAGCAATCATACCACAGTGTGAAAACTAATACAAGGGACGCCTGGGAGGTTTCATAAATATAGTGCCTAAGGGCTTTTCCATTGTGGACTACTGTGCTATGTGATGGTTTTTCAGTGGTTTCTCCTTTCATATGACACTTCAGACTGCTTAATTGTTACAGCGCTAACTTTAAAATCTAGATGTAGAAGATCATAAGGCCCCGCCCTTCTCAGATTACAACACTTTATTCAATCTGCTCTCTGGGATTATCATCTTCACTTTACAGGCACAAACATTCACAGAAAGCACATTTCAAATTGAAATGCACAAGCGTTTGTGCAACTGAATTTTACATTCACTCACACTTGAAGCACTTGCATATTCATCCAATTGGGAAACAACATGCCATGTGACTTATCTCACCAATCACAACTAAGCGACACTATGTGGATGCCGAATAGTCAGGATAAATGTGTCAAGAGGTATTTGCCGTGTAGGTTTGAATAATGAATAAATCTGAGGAAATCACAATCCATGAACAGGAAAAGAGGCTAAACTCATTGAGTAAATTATTCACTGCAAATTATTTGCTCAGCTCTACTACTTACAATGAGTTGCTAATATGGGACGTTTAAATGCTGGTATATCATTCAAACTCCATTAGAAATAGCTCCCCACTCTTCCTATCATGTATGAAGCTGACTCCTCCCCTAACGCAGTAACGAGTGCTTATTGCCATTTCATTTCAGACCACAAACAGCATCAC